TGTATCGTAATGTTTTCATTTGTAAAGTGAGAGTAATAGGTTGGCTATAAGCATTAAATTAGCTGTTATACAGAAGAACTTGGAATTGCAAGTGGCACATACAATTCATAATTGCCAATTAATATTGCAGTGATGGTGGTTGTCTCCCCTATCTCCTTTGTCAACTGTCCCAACCACTGACTTCTATTTCTTGTCTCTCAGATCCCATGTCCATCCAATCTCACCAGAGGGGATTTAAGTTCCTATATTGTATCCTCTGAATATCCACTATATCCTAAGAGACAAGTAATGCTACTTGTCCAGAGACTACCAAACCACTGTAGAAAAGTAAGAACACGTCAAAAATGTAGCAGGCTTCTTTCTTCATGGTCCCCAAAATGAGTCTATCCTGGAATTCTGAAAAAATAATGGCAGCAGTGACATAGTGTTTGAATGTCTGTGAATTCCCCCATGAAACTGAAAGAACATCTGGGAAAGCAAAACCAAAAATTGATGGACAACGCTGACAACAAAATTAGGTGGCAAGGTGTTCTCACAAATTCCAAAATAGGAGCTGTCAGTTTTATGACCATATATTACTATGATCTTTGCAGTAGGAAGCAAAGGGAAGCCTCATGGAAAGGAGACTAGGATATCACCCAAATTACTAATAAATATTCATGAGAAATTGATTCAGAGCAATTTTATCATAGTTAAAACTGGGAGACACACTTTTATACAATCTAATTTATAAGTCAGTGAAAAGTCTCCTTTCTAATGTTTGAGGGGTCTAAACACTGTGGCCTGTGAATTCTTAAAACTCATTAGCTAGAGCTTCTTCTTAGGAGGAATCTGAAGGACTAAAGCCCAAATTGAGAAGGTAGTGGCAATAGGGACAGAGGAAATGGAAGGTCCAGATAAAAATAGAGAAAAGATGAACAGAACTAGGAGATCTCAAAAAAAAAAAAATGGCAATTTTCTTCAGCTCTTCCAAATGTAAAAAAATAGGAGATCCAGACTTGTGAAGTTAGACATGGTCTCCTATGTAAACATTTCCTGTGAAGGGCAGCTCGAAACATTCACCTTGAACATTCCCACTGGCTAGTAAATGAATCAGCTTTGGTGTAAAAACCTCGTTAACTTTTCACCAGCACTCAGTGTTTAAAATGATTCACAAAATAGATAGGCTTCCAGCTAGCAAGTACCCCAGTGTATTCTTCTGATAGGAAGGATTTCAGCGCTACTTATACACTTGAGTCTTCCTGGGAGCTTTAATCGCTATCCTTATCCTACTTCAGATCCTTTGGAGAAGAATCTATGAGGGCGAGGCCCATCAGAATATTTCAAAAGCTTCCCAGATGAGTCTATTAGGCAGCCCAGATGGGAACTACTGAAAAAGAAATTACTCCAAAGGGAAAAGTCATTATAATGTCACAATCTAACATTAAGACACTATATACCTTCCTCCAGCATGGTAGTTGCCAAACCTTGCTGCATATTAAAATTACCTAAGGAAATTAAAAAAAAAAACAAACCCTAATGGACATGCCGTACCTTATACCAATAAATAGGAATGTCTGGGCATGGGAACCAGGCATGGGAGCAGTTTTAAGTTACCAGATGGTTCCTGCTCCCCCAACCCCCCACCAAAAGAAAAGAAAGATAGAGAGAGAGAGAGAGAGAGAGAGAAAAGATCCCATGATAAAATCTTCCCTTTTAAAAGACTGGGAGAATTGGCTACATGCAAAAAAAATTTTGAAAAAGATGAATATAATAAAGAATAAAGATAAACTAAGTGGAATATCTCTATAAACAGGGCAAGGACAGCAAAATATTGTGCTTATAAAGCAGGAAAAAAGTGTTACCTAAAATTTCAAAACAAGGTAAAAAAATGTTATAATCATAAGATATAGAAAAGAACAATACAAATCAAATTTAGAAAAACCTCTGAAATGAGGACAGGAAAGAATTAAAAATTAAAGAACAAGACAGTTTAGAAATGGAGGCTAAACTTAAAGACCATATGAGTCAATAATTCCAGGATAAAATGCCATAAAAGTTTTAGAGGGGAAAAGGATTTTTTTAAATAAAAAAGAAATAAAAAACAAAACTATTTAATAGAAAGTAATGTATATGAAATATAAACAAGAAGATCCAAGATAATGGAATTTTCTAATGAGAAAAATCAAAACAATAAAACAAAATTAACATAATAACTATCATAAAAGGAAACTTTCTTGAAAATAAAATTGAAACTACATGTTGAAAAGGAACACCACAGACCTGAAGAGTGATCCAGAATGAACAATATTAAGACATACTGTGCTAACTCTATTGGACTTTAAAGAAAAGAAAAATAAAGTCAGATTGGAATTCAGGCAGATAAACATTTGTAAGGATAACAGTAAGAAAACAAGATTATCGTCAGAATTTTCAAAAACAGCTATTTATGCTGGTAGTAGATAGAAGGACATTGTAAAGATACTCAAGGAAACATTGCGAGCCAAGGATTTCAAATCTACCAAATTGATTTTTAAATACCAAGCCCTCAGATATATTTGAACAATGTATACAAAAGCTCAGAGTATTGTTCCCAGTAAATGGAATCATTCACCCATTTGCTCAAGTCAAAAGCTTGGAATCCTTGATGTCTTTTTTTCCTCTCATAGCTCATATTCAATTTAATTGCAAATCCGACTTGATTCTACCTTAAGAACCATGCCAAATTTGACCTCTGATCTATCCGGCTCCATTATAACCCTTCTATTCCCAGTTACCGCCGCCTCTTGTTCACATGACGGCAGTAGCCGCCTTACTTGTGTCCCTACTCTTACTCTTGCCTCCGTCTAAACTATTCACACAGCGGCCAGAATAAGCAACTGATATGTCACCCTTATGCTCAGAAACCTTTGATTCTTACATCATTTAGTCTTGGATACCTCTCTAATCTTCCCTTCCCTCACTGTACCCCGGCTACATCATTAGGAATACCTGAGTCTGTTATGTCACTCAGCTTTCTCAGCTGCAGGGAGCATGCATGTGCTGTCCTCCAGTCTGGAACGCCCTTCCACAGGTGGAAATATGATTGCTCTATGGCTTCGATAAGGTGTCTTTTCAAGTAACGTTCCCTCGGAGTGGCCTTTTCTGCACCCCTCTCTAAAATAGTACCCTTGTCATTACTTTTTCTACTTTATATTCCTTTGTAGGACTTTGCACTCGTCCCTTCTAAAATGTACGCTCCGTAATGGAAGGGACTATGTTTACTTTGTTTACTCAGTGAGATATTTATTCCCCTAAGTGTTATCATATTACATTATTCTATGCTTTTTATGAAGATAGATAATAATAAAGAATATTATTGTTTCTAAAGAAGTGTGCCTTTTATGAAAAGTTAATGAGAAAAGTCTGATGTAAGGGATTTAAAAATAATTCAATTTATATGTTATGTATTTTTCAGACCATTTAAAACATAGGCAGACCAATTTACTACACCTGTCAATTACTACCTTTCCTAACCCTGTGCAGCCTACAGGTTCTGAAAAAACCTTCAGCCTTAGTCTGTTGGCTCAGTCTCCTCCAGCACCCCAACCAACCTAAATCAGATTGAGAGAACATTTTAGTCCTAAACCCACCATTATGGGGCTTGTACATAATTTTGCTACTTGAAACTTATATCCTTTCCCTCTAAAATTCACAGTGTGTTCTGTCCTTTCTAATGGGTGGCTGCTCAGATTTCTTGATGAAAGCATTTATGATCTCTCAATCCTAACCCATTGGACCAGGGTTTGCCTCCTCTGCTCTGCTTTTTCCAACCCTAGTCAAGTGTGAATGCCTATCCCCACTGTTCTCAGTTGCCAGTTGGGGCCTTAGGTGAAAATCATATCATTTTTCCCAATTCCAGGAACTATTACATGACCATGAAGTTCTGTACCATACGAAAAAGTGATACACATTAACCTAATCCATCTTCTTTATAAGTTTTTAATCTTTTTCATTTGCCAATATGAATAAACATGTATCTAAAGCATAGATAGATAAATAAACATATCCAAGTAATGTATGAGTGAACAGTAATATATGCACATCCTAATAAGAATCAGAGATAAAAACTTTTTGGACACAGAGTGGACAAGTACAGTAAATACATACTTGCAGTTGAGACTAAGGAAAAAAATGAAAACATTTTATATATTAGGACAACTTTTTTCCTCATTTTTGCATTCATTTGTACATGACTTAGTAATTAGAGCATTTTTAAACTCAATGAATGGCCTTTGTAATTACTTTTGGCTCAAATATGTATTAGGTTTATGTTAATTGTGGGACTAAAGCAGTGCGTGATTGTATACCAAGAATTTTATGTTTGCAGTTAGCAATTTAATCTTGCTTCTGAGAAATTTTTTAATATGAAATTACCATTTATCCTCGTAATAAGTTTTCATAGGGTCAACTGCTTTGCATCAAGTTTGGCATTAGAAATGAAAAAAGATGGGTGAATATGTTTTAGTTACAGAAATAAACAATGTAATTAATCTTTATTAATATATAAAATAAAGCACCTAGTAATGAAACAATCTACAAAAACATAAATTTAAACATTTAACCAATTTGTTCTTATTCCTTTGCAAATGGTACTATAGAAAGTTCAAGAACAGACTGTGGTTATTTGAGTGGAATTTGGAAACTGTCCTAATTTTAAAAGGGTTTTGGGAAAAATTCCTGATGTGTAGCATGTAGATGTTTCCTTCTTCTTTGATACTGTGCTGTAAGCAAGTAGTACCTCTTGATTAGGTGCTAATGACAATGCCAGGGCTGTTCAAGCTTATTTCAGTAGGAGTTCAGAACCTTGCACGGATCTGGAAATGGACACAGAAAAGGAAAAATACATATGTAAAGCAATATGTTCTTAGAGAAATTTCCTTACAAACACATATCATTTTGTTGTCAATATACAGTTTGATGATACTAGAAAGATTTTGACTTATGTCTCTGACTTCTCTTTTTGTGTATGTTTTCTTTAGATAAGAAATGTTGAGACTAATCAATGTTTAGACAACATGGGCCGCAAAGAAAATGAAAAAGTGGGCATATTCAACTGTCATGGTATGGGAGGAAATCAGGTAAACTCTCCTTTTTTTATCAGCTTCATATTTGAGGGCAATTTTTGTTGTGAAAACTATCAAGTTAGAACATGGCTTACAAGTCAATAACGATAAAGACTTAGTTTAGCAGATTAATGGGCATTCAAATTAAGAACTAATTAGGGTATTTTATTATCCCAGATTTTTAAAGAAAGTGCTACAGAATTTAATTAAAAGGACACAAGCCTACAGTTAATGAAGAGTGTCAAATATTTTAGACCTATCTCATTTTAACATGTATATGCAAATGAAGACAAAAGTATACAAAGTCACCAGTCTCAGGGATTCATAAATGAAGTGAGCAAAGGAACAATAAGTAAAAACCCTGTACCGACAGGTATTCTAATGTCTGCATTATCAATTTAATGGCGAGATAGGAATTAAAACCACTATTTTTCATCTCCATGAATACTTATTTGTTTCTACAAATATATGCACAAGAGTATTTACCGGCATCCTTTTTGTTATAACATAGACAGTGGAAATAGCTAAATATTTACCAAAAGGGGGATATTTAAATAAATCATGGTGTATTCATAGAATACTAGATAGCCACCAAAATGACTGATATGTCTATGTGTATTGTTATTAAAAACTGAAAAGAGGGTAAAAAATTCAAAGTACAAATTATTTTGAATGATCTCATTTATGAAAAATGTGTTAACATTTTTTTCTATATAATATCTGTAATATCGATATATAGATTATTATATAATCTATTAGCTATGAATGGCAGTCTATTTGGAATATAGATTACCTCTGGTGAGAAGATTGAATTGGAAGAAGAAATTTTACTTTTTTATCTCACTTTTTTTGCACACATGCATTAATTTCATAATTAAACAAAACTGGAGAAAAATGAACTGTTGTGCATAAAAGATTATTTTATAGCATTAGTCTGGCCTGGGTAACTTACAGTAGGTCACATGTTTTTGATCTTAAATATTTTAACATAGATAAAAGATTTCCCCTTTTTTTCCTCTAAAGATTACTAAATTTGTAAAATAATTAACACTAGCTTGGCACATACTAGACACTCAGTACTTATTGGTTTATTGTCATTAATTATTTTCTGTACTTATTTTTTCATTTATGTTCTTAATTATTTCTCCTTGTACTTCTATAAGAAAAAAATGTTCTTTTAGTGACTAATGCCAGAGGCAACATAAATGCACCACACTTTCTATGATATTGTTAAGCTTAATAAAATACACTGCCTTTCCTGTTGTTCTAACAAATACATATTATGAAAAAATTAACCCATTACATAAAACCCTATTATGATTCATACTTTGGTATAACTCAATATTTCCAGGATGATTAATAGTAGGGACATGTTTAAATTTTAGGCTTACTTGAAAAAATAACAGATTTTAGGATTCTATTCTCAGAGCCACCTTCCCTGTCTTTTATTGCTATTCTTTCATGTTACCATGGAAGCAGCATCTATTTTTATGGTTATTTAGTTTTGAATTCTTAAAAGTAGCCTCAGTCCATAAAAATATTCAAATTTTTCTCTCCTGCTTTTACACAAAAGTCGTAACAAATGTTACCATTGTTTTTTAGTATTTCCACTCAGCTACAATTCTAAAAGAATGGTTCTTTATCTTTGCTGACAATCATACCTCAACCCTTTCTCATTGCACAGGAGTTTTGGTAGTTTTTTCTTTCTTTCTTTTTTAAGTTCTTGAGATATCAAGACAAAACCAACTTTTCAGTACTTGCTGGACATATTTTTCTTAAACACTCATGTATCCAGCATCTTCTCCTCTTTTCATCTCCAGCACCTGCCATAGGGCTTTGAAAATGGTAGGTACCAAATAAAAACTAGTCAAGTAAACAGATGAGAGAATGCATGGAAGTTTTTGAAGCAGGAATACCAGAAAAACAAGATAACAAGTGGAGAATTATTAAATTTGACATGATCATCTTCAGGTACTCTTTTAAAAATCTTAATAATAAAAGTCTTCTACCTCACATAGCAACATCAAAATTAGTTCATTCTTGTCTATTCTTGAAATGCTCTTTTACTAGCAAGTACTATCATGGTGATCATCAAACATTATCAAAAGGATGAAAAGTAAAAAGGAATGTGAGTAAAACTTGAACATATTAAAGAAAGAACTTAAAATTTACTGGTAGAAAGCATGTTACTAGAAGTTATGGGATTGTATTCTATACTTTTGAAAAATTAAGAGATTCCTGGAAGTGTTTCTATGTTCTCTACAACACTAATGACTCCTATTTATAACTTCATCCCTAACTTCTCTCCTGAGCTCTAGAATCAATGGCCAAATAATTATTAGCAATCTCTACAGGCATCTCAACTTCAACTTTTTTGAAAGGTACTCATTTTTTTTCCCTTTCACACAATCATCCAAACTTGAAACCCAACACAGACACTTCACTTTTGAAGTCTGATTGATCACCAAATCCTGATATTTCTAGGAAAGTAATGTCCCTTGACTCCCACCTTTAAGTTCCTTTACAATGAGGACCCCTATTTTTATGTTAGCCTGCATCTTCTTTCACCTGTGTGATCAAAAATGCTTCATTATTTCTATACATGTTATAGAATTCCATTCATACATTTCATATATGTTACATTAAAATTAAAATTTGAGTAACATCTCCAACAATTCTTCACTGCCCAAAGAATAAAGTAAAAATGTCTTAGAAATACAAAGCCTCATAATTTTATTACCATCTGTCTTTCTAGCAGTCTTCTTTGATGTTCTAATAATTCCTTGTGTTCTAGACATATGTCTGATAATTTTCTATTCCCTGCATGCTCTGCACATTTTTATATCTCTACAGTTCACTGATACTGTTCTCTCTAACTCCACTATTGGCCACAAAATGCTCCACTAACAAACTTAAGACCTACTCCCTATTTAAAATCCAAATAAACCAGCTGCTGCTGCTGCTGCTGCTGCTGCTGCTGCTTCTTCTTCTTCTTCTTCTTCTTCTTCTTCTTCTTCTTCTTCTTCTTCTTCTTCTTCTTCTTCTTCTTCTTCTTCTTTCGTATTCAACACCTTTTTCTTCTTCTTTTCTATCTATTGGTTGGTAACTTCTTAATGTAAACAGGACAAATTTTTAATGGGCAAATTATAATTTATTTAATTAATCCTTTATTGTTCAACATTCATTGTTATAGACAAGGCTCATCAATAACCTTGTAGCTAAAATCTAGTGAGCCTCCTCAGAAATAATGTCTAGAAGTAAATTTGATCAAAGGTTATGCAACAGCATACCTTTTAGTATACAGCAACAAATCATCATTTTTAATGTTTTATTGCTTCACTAGGACTAATAGCTAAAATAGCAAGTGGCACTATGAAAAACATTTAAAAGGCATTATCTCCTTCTCACAAAAATCTATGAAGAGTATAGTGTTACCATCCTGAATTTACTCATGAGTCTAGTAGAAACCCTGACAGATTAGTAAAATGACTGAGGTGGTAAAGTCAGTTTGAACTTAAATCCTGCTGACTCTATGCCAAATTTATATTCACTGCATTTATATTGGTTCCCCCAGGATTGTGATCACAGTGGCCAACCTTAACTGCGTATTGTATTTTATTTGCTTTTTTGTCTTTGCTAATTTAGTATGGGAGGAACATTTTATTTTATTTTAAATCCTATTTCTAACATTACCAGTATACTTAAATATTTTTATAATTGATATCAATACTTTGTGAATTTCCTAGTTATGTTTTTGCTTATGTTTTCATTGGGGGTTAAGAGGATTTTTTTAATCTACTTATAAAAACACTTTATTAAGTAAGATTATTACCTACTGTCATATTGCAGATATGTTTCAGGCTTGACATTTTGTTTATAGTGTGTTTTCATAAACAGACTTTTAAGCACTTTATGTATTTCAATCATTGCTTGCCTTTATGCTTTCCCTATTTTTGGTGTAGAAATATACTTCTTTTGTATGTAAAAAAAAAATTATTGTACTTTTTCCATTACTATTTAGTCCCATTATATAATCCCCAATCGCCACACTGTTATCCACACCCATGACTCCTTTTTCCTTTTTCGTTCAATCCCTCTACCACGTAACCTCCTACCCCTTAGCTGTCTTCCTGCTATCTTTGTGTCTGTTTCTATTTTGCGTGTTAGTCCAGTTTGTTCATTACATTCCATACCATAGATGTAAAAGACCTATATTCAAAAAAGTCATAAGACACTGAAGAAGATACATTATAAATTATAAAATTAAAGAAGATACAAGTGGAAACACATACCATGTTCATGGATAAGAGGACTTAATATCTTGAAAATGTCCATACTATACAAAGGAATTTATAGATTCAACACAATTCCTATCAAGATTCCAATGACATATTTCACAGAACTAGAACAAATATTTCAAAAATTTATATGAAACCACAAAAGACCACACATAACAACAGTGATCCTGAGAAAGAACAAAGTTGAAGGAATCATGCTACCTAATATCAAATTATACTCTAAGGCCAATGTAATCAAAACAGCATAGTACTGGCATAAAAACAGACACATATGTCAATGGAACAGGATAGAGAGCCCAGAAATGAACTCACACCTTTATAGTCAATTAATATTTGACAGAGGAAGCAATGGGCTAAAGACAGTTTATTCAATAAATAGTGTTGGGAAAATTGGACAGATGCATATAGAAAAATGAAACTAGATACCTTCTCATATCACACACAAAAATAAATAAAATTTTTTTTTAATGAGATGCCTTTAAATGACATTTATAGAATCTTAAAGGAGCCAATACCAAAACTGGCAAATAGATCTTAGTCTCATTGGACACACAAGTCTGTCTAGAAAAAAGTCCAGCCATTGTTAATATAATGAGAATGGCTTGCATGACATCAATGCAACCTGGCAGCCAAGGAGAGTGATCTGGAAATGTGCATGCATGAACAATGACAACTTTGTTGTATTAGTCAGTGGGAACAGTAGGTGCCCTTGAGTGA